TGAAATTTTGATTAAATGTGCAAAATAATATTAAAATTCCGAGACATTTTTTGTGGAAACGGACGAATGATAACCTGTAAATGGTTGCTTTCAGATTGATCTTTGTGCCATCTCCACAAGAATCGGTTAGCCGGTCTTCGGAACCATGTTTCGCGATTCCCTCCGAACCAAATGTTAATGCAAAGCCTCCAAGGGTAAGATGGTAAATATACCTGTCGAACATTTTTAACTTTATTTAAAGAAAAACTTAACTAATAAAAGAATCGTGTCATTGTTATTGCAAAAATGGTTGCTGAGATTGAGAACATACGAGGAGTCAAATAGGTCAATGCCTGCTGCAACACCTTGCAAGACTTCCTCTACAAAATTGAAAATCGAACGAGATTAAATATTGATCAAAGCAATACTAAGGTCTATAAACTAGAAAATCCACATCGAAAATTTTTACATCCTGCCCAAAAATTAAGGTGTCACAAAGTCCGTTTGGTAGATCAAGCACAACAGATTTCATATATCACAGATCAAATACAATCAAGAAGTTATGAGGTACTCTGATATCATTTATTAGTGTTTTGCCTACTAAAATGGTTGCAATTAAAAAAAAATGCAAAAGTTTGAAACGAGAGATTCCGTCAGAGAAAAAGGAATAAATTTGAAATAAGATATTAGTGAATACCTGGAAGTCCAAGACCACATATCTGGCGCGGCTTATCCTCTGGTAAACATTCCTGGCATAACATAAGCAACTAAGCACATATCGAATATGACAACTTGTAGAATAAATCCAATTAAAAATAGAAAATAGAAAGACAATAAAGTAGTGATAGCGTCATCGTATTTTTTTCAATATGAATATCTCTGCATTTTCCTCTTCTTTATTACTATTCTGTGAAAAGTACCCTGTATCAAGGCACCACCTATTCATATGGACAACTACGTTCTTCATAATAAACTGCTGTAGCAAATAGTATGAACAAATCAAAAAAAAAATTGAATGCTTAGAGATTTTTTCCTTTTCATTTTCCGACACCCATCAAATTCAATCTAGCATGGTTGTGATATCCTAAATCCCTATGTACATCTGCGGTTACATGCATAGCATAAACTGCTTTTCTTATGAATCAATGCCATTTTTTCCTGAATTTTACACTACAGTGAAAATAGAGAAAATGGGAAACTAGATAACCCGTACGGTAATCGCATTCAAAAGAGCAGGGCGTTCGTCCATACTCTCTCCAAGGCCAAAGCCACCAATGCAGAAACCTGTACAGTACAGCAATAGATTCTTAGTATGGGTAATGAAATAGGCTGAGATGGACACAAAATGATACATAAAATCCTGAATTTACATTTTCTTATTTATTGGATTATGGCATTCTGATGTAATAGAAAAAGTCAAAATGTGTTTATTCTAACTCATTTTCAAATTGTTTATCCTGAAAATCATTCGAAGATACACAACACATTTTCAAAACATGCAGCATGTTTTCTTTCCTACCCTGTTTCCAAATCCTAACTCCAGTTTCATACGCAAGAAGTCTATTTCCGTAACAATCATTTCCAACTTCGGATATCAAATTCTATTGAAGTAAAAATCAGATTAAAATGAAAATAGAACCAAATATGTTTTTAAGATTTCTTCGAACCAAGAACAAAGTCAGAAGTGATTCAAAAATTGACATCATATATAATTCGCCAGATAATAGTCATAGAGTCTAACTATCCATGAGCACCTGAAACATCTCTCTTTGCAACTTCTAGAGCACAGCGTTTCCGTTCGTCGATTCTAGATCCTCCAACTATGGACCCAAATACAGCTCCACCTGTCTGTAGACAGTAATTAATATATGTAAAAGGAACGTACTCAACAGTTCATCTATGTTACTATACGGCACATGAAATTACACGCATATACTCAGTGACATACATAACAGAAAATACTACTCCTTGTCTCTTTCCATTTGTGACTAGCGTATTATTAAAATTCATAAATGCAGAGTAAAAGATGCAATCCCGGGCAGAAAGGATTCTAGAGTGATTGATAATGTCAATAATTCTATGTTAAGGGTTAATCAAAGTGTCACTAATATGTTTGCAATTTCTCATGATTTTTTAGTGAACGGAACATAATCAGCACATACATTCTTGGCAAAAGGTGATTTTATGCAATCATCAAGCCATCTCAAAGTACGATCAACTGATGTTTTGTTCCTCTTCTCAGAAACCCAAGCAGGAACTTCATCTGCCAATGTGGACCACATATTGGGCTTCATCGAAGATATCATTTCCATGTACTGCACCGGTTTTATCTGTCATTTCTCAAATCATCAAGTCAAATTCACATAGTTAAACCAGTTGCGACTACTACTCTAATAATAAGAAGAAAAAAAATTGCAAAAAGTTCTACCAGGAGGCGACCACAAGGAGTCTCGAAAGAAGCTCCTGTCTTGTTGGCGCTCTGATAATCCGGTAAGGATATAATGCCATCCCTCGGAACGGCCGCAAACACATGTTCCTGCAAACCAAGCATCTGATGCAGCCCTCCTATCTCGGATATCGTTTTCATCGATATGCTTTCTAAACTGGAGAAACCACAAATGAGTAAGGTCAAGGAGTAAAGGGCTTATGCTGACTACTAAATTCTTTAATTATAAGTTTCAACTCATCACCCCTCAGCTAGACATATTCACAAACACCTACCCTGCAACTACAAATAGCATCATAACTAAAAATTCTAACACAGAGGAAAAAACTTACAGATGAAGAGGGCTGAATTGGAGGAGGCGACAATCCGGGGTGGGAAGAGAAGAGAGCATGTCGGGTGAAATGAAGGTGGGCAGACCCTTGCGTGTAGTGATGAGAAGAGCGGGAGTTTCAAACGAACAGCTTCCCACCTGCAATAAGCCTGCTCGGCCTCCGCCATTGCTCAAAGCTTTGACGCTGAAATTCATCTTCCCTCTCTTTTGCGATCACAGATTTATCAGTTCTCTTGAACTAACAACGAAAGAGAAAACAGAGAGTTCTAATGTGCATGTTCGTGTTGTTGGCGGTAATTTCAACTGAATAATGTTTCTTGAATATCGTTCTAGGGTTTATGATTTTGGGTTTTGGATTAAGGTAATCTTACCCGCCATTCTTTAAAAATTAATTAAAAATATTTGTACTATTATTTATAATAAAAGTATAAAACAACTTTGAGATGATCCAAGTATAATATTTCTAAAAATTTAACTAATTAATTAATACTGAAAATTAAATATATTATGATACTTAACTATTTTTCTATAAACATTTTTGCTATTGTATTTCTACACTTTCATAAGATGTTCTTTAATCTATCTATATAACTATAAATTTAAGTGAGATCCATTAAAATTATGTTTTAACTCCTTTCTATGTATTTTTTTACGAAACGGTTGTTTTTCCCTGGTTTATTACGTTTTTTTGAATTTTAATAGCACAGAAATACTTTCATGAAATATAAAACTATAAATACGTATGTAATAGTTAGATCTTAAAATAAGTTCGAATGTGGTACGAATAGTAGTAGTATTAACACACGAGCATAAGTACTAAATACTAATAGTGGTATTGACATTATCAATATTTTTCAAAAAAAAGAAGAAACATTATCATTTTCATTTTATTAATCGTATTAACATTAATATTAGTGTTAGCATATAAATTGAGTGGTAGTAGTATTAACATATGAGCATAGGTAGTAAATACTAATAGTAGTATTAACATTATCATTTTTTTTAAAAAATAAAAATAAAAATAAACACTATCATTTTTATTTTATTAATAGTAATAACATTAACTAGCATTTTAAAAGAAAAAAAAATAATAAATTTAATATATAATAAGAAAACATAGTACACTAGCATAGTAAAAATTAATAATGTAATATAAATGTTACATATTAAAATTTAACAAATTGAATTTCTATCTTTATCTCTTAAAATTTGAGATATATTGATGAAAAATAGGAGACTGATAATTGTTGAAAATTATAGTTAAATTATTAGTAGAGAAAAAAATATTAAAAATAAATAATTAAATAATTACAGATGTATCATTAGAGTAGGATTATTGAGGATTTAGTTTCAATTTTGATAATTGTTGAAAATTATAGTTAAAAATTAATAGAGAAAAAAAATTAAAAAAAATTAAAAAAAACAATTATAATTTTTAAGGTTACCCAGCGCTTCTTCCTTTTATATACTGTATAAGATATTAGTGTGTTAGCATATAAATTGGCACTTACATATTAGTGTTAGCATTATACTTTATAGTATCATATTGTAATTTTGGTAATTATATTTAAACGAATTTAATGATAACAAATGAATTAAAAAAGAAAATAATTTAGGGTAAATGAGTTTGTTTATTCCCAACGTTTTCTATATAAACACGCGCCATTTGCGTACTCTCCCAATAAAAAAAGCAATTGGAAAGAAAAGCCCACGCTATTTCCCTTTCTCCGCTGATCTGATTGATCTGTGTATGTGAATTTCTCATTCTTTCGTTGCTGTTTTTAGATTGTTGATTTTGAGTCGAGGAATCAAATTAACATGGATGAAGAATACGATGTGATTGTGCTGGGAACCGGTTTGAAGGAATGCATCCTCAGCGGCCTTCTATCCGTCGATGGCCTTAAGGTGGTTTCCCTTTCCTTTTTTTTTTCATAAACATTTTAAATCAGTGATTTATTTTTTTTATTACGCTTTGCATTTTTGAGTTTGAGATGATACGTGTTGGCATTTCTTCCGATTCATCTGGTTTTTGGTTTAGCTGAAAACGTATCAGTAATCAGTTGGTTGTTTGTTTAGTCGGAGATTGGATTTAATTTTGTAATTGCTGTTTTGATGTTCAACGAATTCGGTTTTGGTTTTCGTACGACGCAGCTAGGCCAGAATCTGAAGCCAAATTTGTTTCCGTAATTTTTTTTTGTTTCATGCAACCTATTTTGTTTTCTATGAAATGTTTGTCGAATTAGTGTTAGCCGTTGCGGCGGTACGTAGTATTATCACATGGAATAGTAGTTCACACTGGCTCAAACTTGTAGATCTTGTGTCGCAGATGCATTTCGAATATATTTGGTACTGTCATTTCCCTCGGATTTAGCGTGGTTAGAATTTTGTGTTTTATGGTGCTGGTCTTCACTGCGCATGTTTAGTCGTCACGCTTGTGGTTGAGAAATTTACCATACTTGACAAGTTAACTGTCTTAATCGTATTTTGAGTCATTTAGATATTCTGATGGTTAGTTTTCCGGTAATCTCCAAAGAGGTAGCTGAATTTGTTTCAAACTCGTTGATGTTTTCTCCACATGATTCTGCCATCTAGTGTTTGTATTATTACAAACTAAAAATTTCTGTCTAGTACTTTGTAAATATTGTTTTGAGCTTACGGTTGTATTTCAATGTTACTTCGACTTGACCTTGTCATGTGTTTAAAATTAGGTTTTGCATATGGACCGCAATGACTACTATGGCGGTGAATCAACTTCGCTCAATCTTAATCAGGTATTCCTTTCATGTATTTTGGCAAAGAGATGTATGTGCCACTTAAAACACCCAAATGATCGCATTAAAGGTAATATGCGTACTCCTCATATATATCATGTATTAACTTTTGATGTATATATTTTTGGGTTCAGTTGTGGAAAAGGTTTAGAGGAAGTGATAAGCCTCCAGCTCAATTGGGTTCCAGTAGAGAGTATAATGTCGACATGATCCCTAAGGTTTTTATGATCCCCATCTTCGACATCATTTAAAAGAATTCGTTCCTAATGTCTTGTTTTATTTACTAATGCTATTTTAATTCATCTCAGTATATTATGGCAAATGGTGCTCTGGTGCGAGTCCTCATTCATACTAATGTTACTAAATACTTGAATTTCAAAGCTGTTGATGGAAGCTTTGTGTTCAACAAGGGAAAGGTATTATCGTTGTTTTTCATGTTATGCCGTGTTCTTTAAACTACATTCTCTTGTGGGTTTTTTTGTTCCAAGGATTATCAATTCACTCTGAATTTTGTGGTGTATTTGATGCAACAGATTCACAAGGTGCCTGCAACTGATATGGAGGCGCTGAAGTCACCGCTCATGGGTATATTTGAAAAACGACGTGCTCGGAAATTTTTCATTTATGTACAAGATTACAAAGAAAGTGATCCTAAGACACATGAAGGAATGGATTTGACTAGAGTTTCTTTTAAGACACTCATCGCGTAAGCCCTCTTGACCTTTTTGTTTTCCTTAATCACTCAAATTGCTTCTACTCTAAATGATTTATCATCCTTAATATATTTCAGAAAGTCGATTAAGTTTGATTTAAAGCATTTCTATTGGTGTGCCAGGCTTCTGGGCTGAGCTTTTAAGCACTCATGCTTTGTTATCTAGGCCATACTTTAGAAAGAATTACAATCTTAGTATCATGAAGCTTATAAGTAGTGGATTACATCAAAGATGGATTGGCATACATGTTTTGCAGCTCTATGTTGCTAGAGAGTTTTCGCTTATTGGAACACTTGGTGTAACAAAAATCTTCACTGCTAACATGAATATTTGTATTGTGTTGTTGGTTTTAGCTTAACACTATTATATCCTTGTGCATAGCCGTTATTATAGTTTTATATAGGATGCCTTTTTTGTACTGTAAATTCTCAGCATTATTATGTCATCTTCCTTATGTGCACGACCAGACCCCAGATAAATGTTAACATATCCGAGCTAGGAGAAGGAATATTACAGAAGATGCTGTTATTGACATTTTGAAAATTGAACAGAAAATATGGTCTCGATGACAACACTCTGGATTTTATTGGTCACGCATTAGCCCTCCACAGAGATGACCGTTACTTGGATGAACCAGCACTGGATACTGTGAAAAGGATGAAGGTAACTCTTTATTGACTCTGTAAACAAGTAATTAGTTTATGTTCTCTATTATCCTTGATCGAAACGAGGGTCCGGTAGTGGGGGTACCTGGACTTTGCGACTCCTGATGTTCCTCTCTGACGTATTTTCTTTCGAATGATAGCTTTATGCTGAGTCTTTAGCACGTTTTGCTGGAGGATCACCTTATATTTATCCTTTGTATGGCCTTGGAGAGCTTCCTCAGGTATGCCACTTTCTTCAATATTTATATATCTGCCTTGTTATTGTTTGTTTGCTCAATTTTATATATCTTGTTCTTACCCCACCCTATATTTCTTCTTTCTCGCTCTCTAAATATTTACTTTGGTTTCTTATTTTTATTTCACCAGGCATTTGCTCGTCTGAGTGCTGTATATGGTGGGACCTACATGTTGAATAAACCTGAGTGCAAGGTATTAAATATGCTCATTATTCTCTTGCCTCCCCCTCTCAAATCTCTCAAAAGAAAGAAAATTATACTCAAAATAAATTAAAAAATAGGGGAGACAGGTTCTCTTGTTGATATAACATATAATTGATTATAATGTTCAATTTTTTTATTTTTCCTTCATGACCACA